GATTTTTAGTTGAATCACAAAATGCGTAAATAGTTATTGGTTGGTCAACATAATGTTCATAGCTTTACGTAATTTTTTAAGGTCAAATTTCAATATGGACAAAAAGTAATAATTAAAAGTTTTTAGTTTTGTAATTAAAAGAATTCGTTTTTAATAATTGAATCACATTATGGAATATATAGTTTTCATTGATTTCAAATTAAATTGTTAAAGAAAGAAAAATAAATTTAGTTATGGTAAGATTTGGAATAGATTTTGTTATGATTAATTTTAATAATTTCCTTAAAATTTTGCTATGTCATAATACTTTTTAAACCATGTCATAATTCTTTTTGTGAAAGTGACGGTGAGAATGACACATAATCTTTTTTCTCCGAAATCACTTCACAGGTATAAGGGATGCATTACTAATAATACTAACAAAGAAAAAGGAACATCATAATTAGGATTAAGAAAACAAAAACCACACATACAGTATATGGATTACTCGGACATTCTATAATGTCATTTTGTTTTGGGATCAAGGATACTACTCTATTATATTAAAGACTCAACAATTAATAAAGCTTATCGGGCCTGGCATTAGGCCCAATGCTAATTTCAACTTGCTAAGCCTTTTGATGCATTTGTATTAACATGCAACAAGCTGGTTCCACAATGTGTTAAGCAACAGTCTCCTTCCTGAAATACTTAACATGAAAATAAAACTACCACAACTCAAATCTTCCCAACATGTATTTCTCAGAACATAGTTCTCAAACTACTAATTCACATCAATGCCAGAGTCAGAAGAGTTGCTCTGAAGTAGTAGAACCCGAGGTGGGCAAAGTGAAAGTCAGTTCCTTTAGAGAATTCAGAGAGACTATTGATCGTAAAGATATCAACTTTTGGAAGAGATTACCTAATTATATTAGTCATTCTCCTTCAAGTTATTTCTGAGGCTTCTTCCACAAAACACCAATCTTCTTGAGCATATTCCCATTTTTCTTCTTTGTCAATTCATCGTCGATATCTTCAGAGTAAGGAGAGTTTGTTTGATTGTAGTTCTCAGCGAATTTTCCGTTGTTTCCAGCGGAGAGCATGGCAGTAGCTGCTTCAGCAGCTTTTCTCCACTGGTTTGATTGAACTTTGAGCTTCCTGAGTTCTGTTTCCATATCTGAGTTTGAAGCTTGAGTAGCCTCTAGTTGCTCGGTGACCCTAACTGCTCTCTTGCTACTCTTGTCAGCCTCTTCCATTGCAATCCCTAGCTTCATGAACGCGTCTTGTACATCTGTCTCCCTCTTGTGGATATCCGACTTCAATGTCTCGTTCTCATCTGAAATGATCTGGAGTTCTGTCTCTTTATCCATCAAATCCGCCTTTAAGTTCTCGATCGCCTCCCTTAGTTTCTTCAGTTCAGCTTCAACATCTGTTTCTTTCTGGTTCTTCATCAGTTCCAGGCATAAGTTATCTTTCTCCTCTGAAATAAACTGTAATTCCGTCTCCTTGTCCATCAACCTCGCCTTTAGCTCGTCTATCTCAGATTTAGCTATCTTTAATTCAGACTGAAGTTCAGCTTGAATCCGTAACCGAGAAGAAGCCTCTATGTTCCCTTCTTGGCCTTTTTTCTCAGACGCTTCTAGAGCTGCTCTCAGTCTCTCTATCTCACCTCTTAAGAAAGATAGCTCTTCCTCCAACTCATTTGACTCCCCAAGTTTTAAACTTTCATAGTCTTTAAGCAGGATTTCTTGGTTTTCCAAATCCTCTGGATTGGTCTGAAGTTTATCAACAAGAGCTTCAAGCCATACCATCCTCGATTTTGACCGTTCAAGCTCAACTGCCATCTTCTTGTAACTCTCAACTGCTTTTGTTCCATCTGACTTCAGTTCTTCTACTGCCTTTTTAGCATTCTCCAATTGCCTAAGAGTTTCTGTGGCTAAAGCCTCCGTCTCAGCTTCTGATACCTCACAGTCCTTAAGTTGGTTCCTGAAATTCTCGACGAGGAAAAGTGTGTCCATTAAGTTACTTCTCAAAAGTTGAATCTCAGAGTTATGCAACTCAGCTTGCTTCACATGACCAGCTTCAGAATAAGCGACCATCTCAATCTGAAGCTTGAGTTGTCGGATCTCATAAACAACAACAGCCAATCCTGCCCTTTCATCAGCAGTTGCACTAAACTCCAAATCACACTCTTGAGATACACTTTGATGTTCAAGAACACCGGTTTTATCGGTTTCTTCCTCCAAGGCTGAAACTTCCAAGAACTGATTCTGGGTCTCCTCTAGCTTAGAGGAAACTTCTTGTAGCTGTTTCCTGGACTCCTCTGCTTCTTGCTCTGCTTGCTTCTTTGATGTCTCAGACACTGTAACTTGATCTTTCGCCTTCTTCAGCTCCTCTTGAAGCTGCGAGACTAACGACTCTAGCTCCGTTATTCTACTCGGCCTTTTCTTCTGTTAGCAAAGAAAGATGACGTTGTTACAGCAATCTCAAGGAGATAAAAAGAAAACAGACATTTTAGTGAGAATTAGTTACATTATCATCTCTCAACAACCCAAAATTAAATGTTCTAACTAATTTTTACATTTCATAGGCCCCCAAATTAAATGTATACTAAATTTTTCCTCATCAAGTGGAAAGGCTTATCTTGGATTATGCAAATAAAAGAGAATTTATGACATTTAGATATTTTGAGACTTTTTTCAATATCCTAAGATTGAATCTGAAACAAGCTTTTAGTACTAAGAGGCTCTCATACCTCGGAGACAGGGCTTCGTGGAGACCTACGGTCTAGAACTTTGGGACTTTTATCTTTTGGTATTCTGTTATTAGCTGAGATAGAAGATGAAGAAGAGTCAGGCTCTAGTGCTGCTATCTTCAGTGGCCGAGCAGCTCGAGGAGACAGCTTCTTAGGAACATCTGGAGATCCATTTCTGACCCCAAAACACAAAAGTTTAAAACAAAAAGATGACAAATTGAAAACCAAGAAGATACTATTACTCACACTCCACAGTTGCAAGCAAATGTGGCAGAGAACGAAAAAGCTTCTTACTAATAGTAACTGATCATTATAGGTAATAACTTGTTGGCTACCAAAAGAGATTAGAGAAAAATTGGTGATAGGATTTGGTTAAAAAGGAACAAAAAAGTATTGAGGACCACAAGATTACAAGATTCAGCGTTGAAAAAGAGAACTCCCACAAGGAAATCACAAAAGAGGAGAAGAATCAGCCATAAATGCAAAGAAACTATACAAAGACAAAAACCAAGATTTACCTTGCCTTTTGGGTCTGCATACTGTAATATAATCTCTCCAATGCAAAGGATGAATATAAACCTTGTTTAGACAATAGATTTTTTCAGCCTCGTCGTTGCCTCTTCAATGTAAGCCTGACCCACCAAGAATTGTAGAGAGCTCATGAATATTTAATGCAGAAAGATGGAGACATATCTAAGAATCCAATGGCAGAGATAACATGATAGGAGTTATTACCAAAAAAAAAGGATAAGTGTAAGACAATATTTCTTTACTTCTGTAATCAAATCCGATACCAGAAAATGAACATCTTAAAGAAGAAACAAAATCTTTTATTGCACTTCTTAGTAAATGTCTTATGTCAACATACAGATTCGTTGGATTGTGCATTACCTACCGTAAATCCACATTAAGATTCAGTGCATACCCTCATGTTCATGATTCTTGATCAAACATCTGATTTTACAACAAGACTATAGTTTCTTTTTTGACTTGAGACCATTCTACTCAACTGAATCTGCTAAAACTAAACTTGGTCTTTAATATTTCACTCTGTGGAGATAGATACAATCAAGACGGTCAGTATCAAATCTCAGGTGAAAAGTAGAAAAATATTGCCAAAAGATTGTATAGCTGAGTTCTTGTCCTGGACTTATCCAAATAAAACCAAACACAAGAAAAAAAGAAAGACCAACTCATATCTTGACATTGTAACCATTGATGCTAACTACACAAGTTGCTTGACTATAAAGTTAGATAAAAAAGTAATATCCTTTGTTGCCTCTTGACTATGTAATGTTCACAACCTTTCATCATGAAGGCTGGTACCAAGGGTCCTACACAAGTAGCAAAAGCTGGTGGATTTACATTAATATCCCTACCAGATTCACCCTCCTAAATGGAACACAAGAGGGTTAGACTGTCATTTTCTAGTTCAAGTTCCATCTGCCCCTCTATTATTGCCGTGAAAGGAGGGGTCTTAGACATTGAAGAACTACTATCATTAATCATAATAAGTTTAAACTCTTACTCTATTATATATAAGAAAATCAAACATATTAATACCCACTCAAAGACAAGCCTGGCAGAAATCTATTTGGTTTCCTGGATAAACTTTTCCATGAAAAAGGAGAATCTATTATGTAAAACCACTTGAGTGAATCATGCAATGATCATGTTAATTAAAGTAAGCATGAGCAAACAATCACAGTGCAGCACTGAAAAAGCTTCAACATTTAATTTTACCCCAAAAAATAAAAAAAAGCTTCAACATTTAACCTTAAAATTTACTAAAACAAAGAAAAAAAGAGTTCTTTTTTTTTAATGAGAACAGTGATGCAACATTAAACTAACCCAAGATTCTGATGTTTCTCCCTGTTTCAAAAGTGAGATAAAAGCTAACATAAGAATACCACACAAATTACAAAGAAACAAAGAAAAGGAGACATTTTGATGTTTCAAGCTCCAACAGAGTTAAACCACAAAAAAAAAAATCAGACATTTCACTTTTTATTAAAAGCTAATTGGAGAAGGAAAATACAAATACTCGATCTTTCTGCGATTAAGCGAAACTAGAACCGTAAAATGCCAAGGAGACGCGGAATATCCGAAAAGGGGTAACACGAAAAGGGAAGAAAAATCGAAACTTTTTACTCGGAAAAAGAAGCTACATTTTCCTGGAAACAGTGAATCTAAAGTTTCCATGAAAGAAGTCATTATCAGAACCAAATTCAGAGGAACAAAAACGAGTTCCTTACACTGGTGAGGAAGGAGGAGGGGTTGGTGCTTGAAGAAAAGATTCAGCTTTTTTTTTTTTTTTTGGTAAAAGAAAATGTGAAAGAAGAAATCAAATGGGGTAGAGAGATTTGGGGAAGCAAAACCTAAGTTTTCTTTTTACTTTGTGGAATCCAAGAGAGTCTATAGTCTGTGAGAGAGAGAGAGAAGTTGGTAATGTAATGTGTGTTGTGGCTTTGGGCAGTGAGTCCGAGAAAAGAAAAGAGGAGAGAATGGAACAAAAGGTTATTCCAAAACGCAGAACGACAAAGCGTACTCCTTTGTCG